ACATCACCGGATTGGTATATTTCTTGAATTCAAAAATATTGCATACTATGGTATAAATCTTTTCTATGTTCATATCCATGTTTGCACTGATGATTGTGAATGTTTAGAGTCATCGCATGGGTAGTTTGACGTAAGGATGAAGCTTTGCCATTGTTAGGGCAAAGTTTCAGACGAGCTTCATATCTCCCTGTACATGGACTTTCAGACCAAACGGACACGACCACTGAATTCACAACCTATGATTTATGGGGGGTAGGTTCAACTTCTGGTATGGAATTATGCTATTTTGCAGGTTGGAGATTTGAGGTTGCCGGGGACGATGGTGGTCAACCACCGTGAGGGGGTGGTTTGACCCTCCCTGCGCTGGCGTGGCTGGACAACATTTCTTGATTGGTCCATTTAAACTCCTAGGGGCCCACTGAAGAGGCACGCGTTGAAAACTCAGCAATTATGTTGTTTTAATATTATATTGTTTTGTTTTTGTTATATTAATGATTGATCAGTTTGGTCCAGTGGCAAGAACGAAGGGTGTTAAGGCATTATGTGTGGGGGAGGTCAGGGGTTCGAGCCATTCCTCTTGCATTTTTCATTTTTCTAAAGCTTTATTGCGGGATTCAATACATCACGTCCCAGGCGCGCACCATAGGCCACCAAATCTATACCATTAGATCACAACAAGGTCAGATCCAGCGCTCCTAGGGTGCTTCCCTATGGTGGACCTTCCTAACGCATCAACATTGGATCTTACGCAAGGGCAATGGGCCAACAAATCTGGGCCTAGCCAAATTCAGCCAGCACCCCCTCCCCCATATTGCTAATACACTTCAGGCCCATTTCTTTTCATTTTTGTCATTTTTTTTTAATTTCTTTGTTTTTATTTTATTAATTTTTTCTAAAATCATTTTTTATTTTAATCATAAAATCATAAAATCACAAAAAATAGGATTAGTTTTTTTATATATATAATTAAAATTAATTTTGTAAATTAATCTAATTTAACTACTTTAATCTTTTTTTTTAATTAAAATTAATTAGAAGTTAGGATTAAATCTCAAATATTTTTTCATTTAAAATACCAAAAATATTTTTAATAAGCAATTAGATTTTTAGGCTTTGTCAAACTTATTCCCGTCTCACTTTTTGTGCGTTGTTATTTTTCGTACTATTATTCTTTTTTATTATGTAACTGTTTCTCGGTTTTTAATAGTTTAATTAGGGTTTAAATTTCCGCATCTGATTATGTAATTGCCCTGAGGCCATGTAATAGCTTAGGAGTTTTTATTTTCCATAATTTATTTTCTGCACTATAAACTTCTTAGATGAATGGCTAATAGGATTGCATGGAAAGATAACGATTAATTGAACCTAGCATAACTTAATTCAAGATAATATATCTGAATCAAGCACACATGCACATGCTCACCCTAGGGTATCTCCCACTTTGGTTGCCTTCAAAACGGTCACAATTCTTGAAACGTGAGGATTTTTAGTGACTGTCCTTTAGTTCAAGAGATCACAAGTCCCTCGATGACCCTCTCGATTGTTGCCTCAGTTAAAAAAGTGATCTTAGAACTTTAGGACAGTTACTAGGAGTTCTTTCCCAATTGCCTCAGTGACCGTAAACGCCCCTTCGATAATCCCTCAACATCCAATGATAGGGCTACCTAATCACTAATAGTATCACAAAGGTCTTTTTTATGTTCTTTTCACCCTTTCCTTTGTTGGATAGAAGAAAAGTCGGTGGTGACTTTTACTTACTGCAACATTTGCGAATACAAAACACAAACCAGTATAACAGTCGGTTCTACCATTGTATCACAACAATGTTATGGTATGATGTCATGATGTTATGTACAAGTAATCATACACAAGTAAATAAGTCGTTATGTACAAACAAAGGAAACAAATCCTTATGTTTAGGATTGCATGGAGTTTATTGTTAAGTACCCTCTTGAAGTTTTAGTTGGCTCAACCTGTCCTAGAAAGTAACCGGGTTCTAGGGAATCTCAACATCACTGATCTTTCTTCATCGGGCATTATTTTAGCACAAGCCTCTCTATTGGCAACCGAAATATCCCAAAAGTCTGGTCTCAATGAGCGTAGCATCGAGTATCAACCAATCTTCAGTTGGAACCAAAGTCAGCTATCTCTCTACTTCCTAATGGCCAAGTTGTTCAATTAAAGGTTCTAAGGTCAGTTAGTGCTTCATGACACCACATAGCGGCCCAGTATACTCCTTGACTAAACTTAAGGGCTACTGGTACCAACAAATGTGTCACACTAACGTAGCCATCGTTTCGACCATGTCGGTATACGCTGCACAATGCCCACGATCTATTGCTACTTACCTAAATGGTGTTCCCCGATCCGGGTAAAGGATCAATATAAACCCAAACAAGGACCCATAAATTTAAAGCAAACAAATCAAACAATGAAATCAAGTAAATGTGATCTAACTCTAAGGTAACCCCACTTTTAAGTATCCCCAACAGAGTCGCCAGTTCTGTAATACGGTGGGAGAACTAACTTGGTTGTTTTGCATTTGATCTCAATTTTTATGGATAGCAAGAGTCGCCACCGAATTTTCTTTTATCCAATAATGAAAGGGTGAAAAGAACAAGAAAGACCTTTGAGATATTTTCTTGAGTTGGGGGGTAGATTATGAAAAGGGAAGGTATTAGCAGCCTTTTCATCCATAGTTATCTATGGGCTCTTAGTTGCTTGCTAGATCACTTTTGAAATTGCTTGGTTTGAAATGTGTTTACGGTGGGTTTTGAAAGTATGAAAAGCGCCTTCGTTTAGGAAAACTTTGTAATGATTCTCGTCTCTATAAGAATGCATACAAAGTGTTGTACTTTTTGAAAATATTTCATGTTTTGAAAGTGTTTGGTGTATTTTAAAATATGTTCATTTTTAAAGATGGGTTGTGAGCAAGCAACTAAGAACATTCTACCTACTTAAAAGTCTTTTGTTCATTTCTTCCTTCCTTTGATATTGCTATCTTACCATTGATTGGTAAGAAGCCTTATCTTTGGATAAAGAGATGGGCGTGGGTCATCATATAGTCATGAATAGAAATGTTGTGAGATATCTTAACATTTCTCTTGAGGGATAAAGATCATTTATAAGGCAACATTCGAAGCGTCATCGAGGGACTATGATCTTGTATTTTTGATTGTTTTTGCTAAGATGCCTCACATGCATATTATGACCATTTTCTCAAGGCAACAAGTGGAGTTAACCCTAGAGGTGTAAGTGTGCAAAGTGTTTGTTTTTCATGCTTGATTTATCTTGGATTAGTGTTTTTAAGCGTTGGTTTTATCTTGCCATACAAACCCTAATTTACTAGCATTTATATGAAAGCCGTAAATTATGGAAAGTAAATTTACTATGCTATTACATCATTTGGGAAGGGGGATACAAATTTACAAATGGGGATAGCAAGATATTAAACCCTAATTATCTATTACAACCATATTAAATTTGTACAAGAAATGACATGAATATAATGTACAAGGAATATAAAAAGAAATGGATTTTGCTTTGGATTTTTGTTAGGAAAATTGTTTTGACCTAATTAACTTAAAGGGACGTGATTAATAAAATAGGAAAATTAATCCTAAGTTAAAAGGAAATCAAATTAATCAAGAAATCATTTTTTAGGGTTTTTTATGGAAGGCTTTTGGTTAATTAAAATAAATATGAAAATAAAATATTTTTGTGATATTTTTATATATTCATAAAATAGACATTGTAAATAAATAGGGTGCAAAAAATAAAATCAAAAGGAGTTGTTTTAATTGGTTGAAAAAAACGTTGAAGTTTGTGTAGCGATAAAAAATGTAGCAGGGTAAATCGGAGATCGAGCTATTAATTAACTCGACTCACAAAAGAAAGTCGCCACCACGCTTTATTATTTCCAAGGGAAATGGGAAAAGAGCGAAATAAAACCCTAAAATATGCAATGTAAAATAATACTTAAAAGTAATGAAAATACAATGCATTTTGAAAAGAGATTTAGAGTTCGGGGGTTGGTTATGCAATGGGAAGGTATTAGCACCCAATGCATCTATAGTATCCTATAGGAACCTTTTGAAATATTTGTTTATTATAATTTTTTGTTTGATTAAAAGAGTCTGTTTGGCTAAAAATGGGTGTGGATGAGATTTTGAAGATGCGACGACCTAGTGTCGAAGTTTTGACTTAAAAGGTGTGAGTTTGAAAATTCAATATTAAGTTTGGCAAAAAGAGTAAATAGGAAAAAATGAATGAAGGTATTCGCACAATCGTAAGATATATTTTTGATGACATGAAGTCAACAAAATAAAAATATTTCCCTTGGAATTGAGACGGACGAAAGATAAAGATTAAACGATCAAGAATAAAGTTAATTAAAATGACAATTGAACGATTAAATAAAATTAATTCTCTCTAACATCCTCCGAAAATGATTACTTCCTCTCTCTACTTTCTCTTCAAACCCATCATCTATCATCTTCACCTTTCTCCATCACTCTACAATTCTGAACCCATTACTCTCATCTCTCAAATTCACACCTTCATCTTCATAAAAACAACAACATCCTCCTTCATCTGAATGCTGAACATTCCATGTCGTGTTACTCAAACCGAAGCTTTTGGGAACTTAAAGTTTTCACATTCATCTTCTCCGATTCGGCTGCTTGAGCTTCTCGCAGGGAGATTTGAAGATGAAGAAGAAGATGATGGATGTTATGGATCCTGAGAGAAGCTTCTAGAAGAAGAGATGCAGTTTGGGAAGATTTGCAGGGGATTTTAACCAGGGATGTTAATTCGAACAAGGGGCAATTTTTTGAAGTCAGGTGGAAGTGAAACACGACGGAGGGGCTGATGGTGGGTCTACATTGGAGGTTAGAATGTACTCAGGTGTGTGCTTCATCGTTTGATTTTTCTGATTCGCTTCTGCTGCTGTGCATTGGTGCTTATGTCGAAGTTATTTTTTTGTTGGAAATAGGAACACGCTATGGGAATAGTTGCGATGAGGGGTTGATGGCTGAGTTGCGGTGCATGGTTTGATCACCTTTCTCAACAGGTTGGCTTCCTGAAGCTGCGGATAATCCATTTATATGAGAAGGATCAACATATTTGTTCTGATGGATCAACATGTCTCCTCTTCCTATTCCCTTCAAAAGTTTAGACGGGTGTTGAGGCTGATTAGGATATTGTCTCGCAGGCTGTTGATACTGACTTTGTTGTGCCTCTTGATACTTGACTAGTCACACTAGAACCAGGATTTCTAATGAACCCAGGTTGTGGCAGATGATGAACAAAAATGGTGGTGATGGAGAACCAGAAAAGAAGCAGGAGGCTTAACGCGTGATGTAGAAGAGTGGGTACCGGAGTGTGGTTCTGTGAGGTGTCTTCTACATAGATGTGTATCGTATTAAGATCAGACTCAAACCAGAGTTTTAAAACATGCATATTTTTTTATTATAAAAAGATACTCATATTATCTACTGAGATCTATTTGTTCTTACTCTAAATTCCCATCTGAACCAGTTGGCTAATATTTTTTAAACTACAGTTTTTTAAATAAATGGTCCTCATGTATGATCTGTCTTGATTGTTATGTACCTTTGTTTTTTTAGGGATGACTTCCTATCTAAGGGATTAAAATTAACGCTGTAAGGAAGCACAAAAATATAGTATACAGTAACAAAACCAATGATAAGCCCTGCCCATAGACCAACAGAATAACACAAGAATAGCTTCCAAATCTTAACAACTTTTTGCTCTCCAAAACTGAAGACGGTGAAGGTAGATGGGAGTGTTTGAGCAGAGAAATTTGAAGGTATATTTTTATCTTTGTGAATATATGTCATAATGTGCATTTTGTATGCGTTTATCACTATTACTATTATTCTAACATTTCTAAATGGCAACACTTTGCAGCAACTCAAAAATACAGTAAAGTGATAAATCAAGCAATCATATGGCATAAAAGTGATGCAAAAAGAAGATTCAAATTGATGGATATATGAGAAAGTTATGCAGAAGTAAATAGGGAGAAGAAATACCTATCGGAGTCTCTCTGATGGAGCTTCAAAAATAGTAAGTTCTCCCTCCCTCTCTTGTTGATGCTCAAACTCCTTTGACTCTGATTATTTGCTTGTAATTCTTGAACAAGCTTCCTCTTTTTTCTGTTTTTTTCTCTCCTTGAGTTTTTTCTTTGTGCTGAATTTTGTGTTTCTCTTGTATCTCCTTTCTTTTGTGTTGTTCCCCCATTCTGTTCATGAAGAGGCCTCTATTTATAGTGAAATATGTGGGGTTTTAGGGGGGGGATAGTAGAGATTTGAACTATTTTAGGCTATGTTTTGATGTTTTATGAGACAACTTTTTGAAGTGTGCATTTTAGTGTAATGTTTGGAGTTTTGTAGACTGGTTTTTGTAGCAGCAAAGGTGCAAATTTTTGTCTTATGGGCTGCATTTTGGACTGTTTTGCAGGGCAGATTAGGACAGCAACTTGGCATGGTTTTTGTTGAAACAAGTTTGGAGAAAATGGATAGCATTATACTCAAGAATTGGATTGTTATTGGATTAAAACAGTGCTGGAAAAAATGGGCATCATTGGGACTGTTTTGTAGCAAGAATAATAGCTTGATTTTCATGTACAAAATTTGAATTTCTTTCGTAACTTTGTAACAATAAATCCAAGTAAATTGTAACATGAATGGATATGTATTCTTCAATATATTCTCAATTCCCTTGTAATTGTAAATGACTTTGAATCTTCATTTGAAATTGAATCTTCATATGTCTTGATAAAAATTCAAGACCTTCCATTTGAATTGGGAAAGAATTGAATAATACTTGAATAAATTGTTGAATGATGAATAAATGATAATGCAAGCCTTAGACTTTAATCTTGCATTTTGTAATAGAGATCCAAATAAATCACATGAATTGATTTTTGTAATCAAATAGCAACCATCATGTAATTAATCTTGTGAAGAATGACTATTTGAATCGAATTTCTTTTTCTAATATCTCCTTAATAAATGCTTCATGTGTGTTCAAATAACCATAATGTAAATCCACCAAAATAATCACACAAAATAATCTTGAATAAATATTTCATGCAATAAATGATTATTCTTGAATGAGATCTCTTGGTAGCTCCTCTTTAATTATCGCTTGAATTCAAATAAAGAAAATTCCAAGTATTCCGAATAAATTCTTCTAGAACGGTTTTGAATTTAATCATCCCATTTTGACGAAATTCACCCCGCGTCATGAGAAAAACTTGCAGATGACCTTTGGTTGAAGTGATCGAAAATGACTGGCATAACTTGTTTTCTTGTATTTTAAAGCAATGTGAAACACACATGAACCAATGGCAGTAGAACTTCGACTGTTCTTTCTGAAAAATTCCAGAGACGCTCGAGACCATCTATTGGACAGAGTGTGGAAATAAACACACGATTCTCTAAAATTCTTTTGATGAACCAACCTTTGAGGATCAACGATCGACCACGTTTATGTCTCGAGACTCGAAACCCTAATTGATGTGTAACGTCCGATGCTCTTCTTTAGACCTATTTCCTGCACATGAAATCAAAAAACAAAACATACACTTCGTTCTTGATTAGTGGTTAGTCATTCATAAGATAAAAATGCTCACAACACTCGATAATCTCTACACAGTCAAAGCTCGAAGGCAAAACATTCAAAACCTACCATATTTTGTGACCTTGATGTATATATAAAACAATGCAAATGAAGCAGGGGTCTTAAGTCAAAAATTGGGATATGACAGCTGCCCCTATTTAAGTTTCTTTTATCTGGAGATACGAAGATTGAAATCTTCGTCTCGACGAGATTGAAGGTACTTCAATACATAATACGCAATTTTTTCCCTAAGATACCGCCATTATGTTTATGATATGAATGTAGTATTTGAACTTTATGGAGAATGATATTGCATGAGACGAAATAATGCTGGAGAAACCAAGCACAAATAACCCACAGGAACAAAGATTATACACTACTGGGTAAATGAGCCATCGACTTCGAATGATAGACTCTTAACGAGGAATAAATTTGAGAGAAAACAACCTCTGACCCTAACAAAGAAAATGCCTTACATAGGCCACGAAAAAAAAGATGATTGTTGACCCAAGATGATGGTGAGTTCATAACTCAAGGTCAAAGATAAACAAAAGATGTATCAACTTTTGCTGATAGTGAAAACCGACTTTTACTGAAGGTAGAGATTCACAACAAACTTCTCTATGGGACTTTTCTAGAGAGATACCATTTGATGCTGAAATAACATATGGTTGTAGATACACAAGCTTCTCAAATAAAGAGGCCGCCACTTGTTGTCTTTAAAGGATATCAATAAACGCACAAGCTGCTCAAATAAAGAGGCCGCCACGTGCTGTCTTCAAATGATATCAATAAACACACAAGCTGCTCAAATAAAGAAGCTGCCACTTGCTGTCTTCAAAGGATATTAATAAACGCACAAGCTGCTCAAATAAAGAAGCTGACACTTGCTATCTTTGAAGGATATTAATAAACGCACAAGTTGCTCAAATAAAGAAGCTACCACTTGCTATATTCCAAGAAAACTATAACGCCCAAGTTGCTCAAATAAAGAGACCACCGCTTGTTGTAACACCCTAATTCTACCCCTCGTAATTAATAATAAAATTAGAGTTTCAAAATTTCATCCAAACATAAATTGAGGTATCACATATTCCTATTTTTAATCACTTTGCATTATAATGCACATCACAAAATCAAAAGTCGGATATACCGATTCATAACATAAATCATCATATAAACATATGACTAATCACAGCACAGCGGATGTGTTCACAAAATGTATGTATCATCATGTTATCATCAATACATAAGGTCATAAGATAGTATACATAAACTATCCTATCAAAATAATAACGTCGCCCAAATCCTGAGTGTTAATACTATCAGAGCAGAGCGACTCAAAATAAAGAGACTCGAGCTAATCCTCATAATCCTCGCGGATCACCTGCATGTTACTAATATAAAGGCAACGGTGAAACAAGTAAAGGGTGAGATACTCCAAAACATATAATTAAAGGCATGATAAAATATATAAATAGTTTTGGAATCATAAATGATATAGGATTAGTAAGAGTATGTCAGCACATATCCAAATCTCATACAGTTTAAATCATCATTTAGTGTATAAAATCAACACTTTAATTTCGTCACGTAATCATCATAATCATACCAAAACAAGACATAAACTTCATCGCCATAAACTCATATCGTCGCTTTACCGTCATGTTATATTCATCGCTTACTCATCATGAAATTATCGCATCATATTCACTTTATGTTCAACACAAAAATCATCACAAAACAAAGTATCATATATCATCGCAATTCATCATAAGCCATGAAATAAAACTCAACGCCAAGAGTCAAAAATAAACATAACCGACTCCATGAGAGACGACTATGTTATGCATGTGGTACCCGTCGCTTTGTCCATAATTAGGGACATTCGGCATAAAAGCCCATCGTCGCTTTGGCATAAAAGCCCTCATCGCTTGGCATAAAAGCCCTCGTCGCCAATGCAATGTATGCGACTCGACAACACGACATCACAAACACGACACAAAAAAACATCATCATCGCACATCAAAATTGGTATAAAACCCACGTCGCCATATTTATCCACATCAAGATAAACATATCATCGCATCGCATATCATCACGTATTCATTATAAATAAACCATCGCAAACATCATATTTAATCACAACACATCATTATCAAATAATTCACTAAATTTCAAACACGGAAAAATAATCAAACATCAATAATCATTGTGAAAGTCATTCATAATAATCGGCACTAATCATAATCATTAACATCACAATCGGATTGTCCATACGCGACTTAAACCGACTAAAACGCAACCCATTTCAAATTAACCGTAAATTGACCTATTTCAGGTCGCTTCATAAAAACTCGAAATATCAAAAAAACTAACCTCACCACGACGTTCTACACGTCGAAATTAGCTAGCACATCAATTTTTGTTCAATTCAGAGTAACTAGCTACGTCGTCGAAATTTCCGAAATCGGGAAATCAGACATAATCAGATTCCAAATTAAATCGGCTAACTTATGTCATATTTGTATTTAATTAATATAAATATTTAATATATTAAATTAAGAAAAGAAAAATAAAACATAAATTAATTAATTTTCTAAA